ACACTGGCAGCATCAAGTGCATAAAGCGCCGTGGTCATCATGGTTAATTTTGATCTCACAATCTACAACTCTGAATTATTTTATTGTAGCTGCGCGTTAGAGACTTGCTTCAGAAACTTCCAATAACTCCCCTCCCAGAAGCACTTTGCAGGTATTGAAATCAGATTTGGAACCAGCGTTCCATCTGCTATAAGACGGTATATTTCTATGAAAAGGCCACTTCGACTAAGCATCCTTCCCTTTTTAGTAGCATTTGAAGCAAAACTTTTTTCCACTTTCATTCGGCACTTAATTTCTGTTCGTCCAATAAATTCACTGGCTTTGAAATAGCTTACTTGAAGACATCGTTCACCCAGATTCTCGACCTCCACGTTTTGATCGTCGGGGCTTTCTCATGTCCCTGATTCCAAAGATGAGGTCGGGTATTCGCAAAAACCCCGACAATCCCCATTCCGGAAAATTCGAGGCCGGCATCCTAGAACGGTGATTGGATGGGCGCGCACATGAGCGGGCATTACTGGAGGGGGCGGTGCCGACTTGCGGTCCTCATGCATGTTTGCTATTCCGAAGCGATTTTTCGCTTTTGAAGTGACGTTTTGCGACGCGATTTGGGCATCGACTTGAAAGGGGGTCCTACTACTGCCGCTGCTAAAAGCTCAAGACCCCTAATTTAGGGTGGAGGGTGCCTTTAAAAGAATATCGCTTAGCTTTGGCAAGAAGAAAAAAAACAAAGCATATTACTTTGATTTGTCTCAAGACAGATCTTTACCAGTACATAATTTTGGAAACAAAGGACGAGGCAATTCTAATGACATTCTTCACACCACTCTAGCTGCTCAACTACAGAAGTTACATCTCTATCTTGAAAAACTCAGAACATCGTGCGTAATCTCTTCCATCAAGTTCTCCGAACAGTGACGTGATAGCTTCATACATTGTAAAAGGAGAGGGTAAGATGAGTACGATAATTTTCTGCTTGCTGTTGCTGCTTTTCATCTATAAAAACCACAATTTTCCAGTTTTGGTTTGTCAACGTAATTTATCTGCATATGTTATTCATTGGCATTGGTACTTTTGCGTTTCAACCAATAATTGCTTGATTAGTATGTATTACTATTTGTGATGGTCCTGGTGGCACTTTGAATCTCTACTGGAAGCATTGACAATCCTGCACAACATTTCCAAGCACTCCAGTTATCATAAGTCTGCAGCAATTTAAAGATTTGAATTATACACTTTTGCTGGTTCTCGCCTATGTATTCAAGCCGAGAGAAATAGCGAGCTATAGTAGGGTTACATATATGCACATTGATCGAAGCGTTGAATTCTTTTGACGTGAATTTTCTCCGAACAAGCACGCAAAGATGGTTTTTTCCTTATGCACTCCACCATTCCAGCGTATCCATGCTCTTTCATCAAATTATAGAGGAGAACTAAAAAATTATGCACGCCCACTAGGCGCAGTTTCTTGCCAATGCATTATTTGTTCATTTCCAGCATCTGTCTCGATATGCCACTCAAAACTCTGCCTTTTGTTGTAGTAAACAACTTCATCTTCTCTCATCTTTTTCTGAGTATATCTCTAGAGCTGGACTTGATAGAATAGTCACTTCTCTAAGTGTGGATTTTCTAGGGTTTATTATATATAGGAGCACACATTTCGGGATCCACGGACGTTTGATGGATTGCATCTCTAGCAAGAGGATTGCACATAATGATATCTGGTGCGAGTTGCATAAGATAATGAAATTCAATCCGCTTTCGAATAGCATCATGAGGCATTTTTGATTAAGTGTCGACTGAATCTTATGCAAATTTGAAGCATCAAAGAAGGAAAAGTATGAATTCATCTTCATTGTAATAGGTCGAAGAAGATGGTCATCGTACCTAATGGTCATCGTATCTTCGCAAGAAACAAATTAATGTCATTTTGCATTTTCGGTCCAGAATTGATGGTTTTGAATTTTTGAAGCGATAATGTAGGGCATCTATAGCACGCAAACTGAAGCTTAGTCTGTAATCATTCAGTATCTCGAAGCTCGAAGTTGGATCTCAGCCGTTTCAGGAAAGCAAGAAAAAAAACTTTTGATATGAACAACTCTTATGCAAGAATCTTTCTTCTAGTTCTCATGATGTTTTGTAAGTCAATATTAGGTTGGAGTTAAGTTTTGTTAAGTTTTGCAACTGGTCTCATAACTTCCCTCTCACTCAACATGGCGCAGCCAAATTTTGCCACTGCGTTGGTTATTACGTAAGCTACAAAAGCAGCTGCTGTTCTACCAAATTCTGACGTCGCAGTGAGGGTTACGGTAGGTGCATGGTATGAGGGAAAAAAATTCAAAGTTTGACGGAATTGGCTGAAACTTGGCATAGGGGTGTTACCGACATGCTGATCACGAAAACGATAGTGAAATTGCGTGGTAAGGGCTTTTTTGTAGGATTACTGTAGGTGTACGATATGGGGTCTCACCTTAAACAAGGAAGGCGTTATTCAACAAATGAATGTGATATTCGCGTTTGGCAGCTCTCTGAGCTTCGAATCTGTAGTCATTGACGGTCGTCCCCAGCAGCTATTGCGTACATCAACCTTTTCGAATTTATGAGGACGCCAAATCTCGACATGCCCCTAAATTTTGTTTCTTTCTTAATAGGCCAAAGGAGTCAACCTCCAGCAATAATTTCTTGACGAATCCGGATTACTGCGCATGTTCTAGGCTGCCAAAGGCTTCATTTTAGCTTGAAACCCCAAAAATTCTCAAATTTCACTAGTTTTCGAAAAACGCCTGGAACGTTTCTGTTTCTTGTTCAAAATTTAGTTTGTGCTCTCTTGTAGCTCACATTGCCTTCTACATAATGCCAAAGTTTGAGTGCGCCATATCCAAAGAGAGTGAAGTTTCCAGCCTAATAATAGATTAACAGAAGAAGGCGCAATATCCTTGGGCGCGAACACGGCTTTCTGTGAGCACAGAGCGCAGGAGGCGTTGGATTCATAGGGTTAACGATAAGTGCGCCGCGCTCGCGCGCTTAACCAATACCGCTTCTGCGCCTTCATCCTGCAGTAGCCTTTAGTTGCACTCATTAATTTTGACTATTTTTTCTTTGCATGCGACACTGTAGGACTCTTTTTAGCCTTACTATTTACTACTGGAAATCAATGACACTTGCATTTAAACCAACCTGGTACAACGGTGGCAGTATGTTCACGTGCAAGAGTCTCCCATCTTTCACCCTAAGAAGCTTCTAGCTTACATTCGCCATTTTCCTGCTGACAAGTCTTGCTCCTAAAATGTTCCTCACAATACTTTCAATCTCGGTTTTTTTCTTACATCCCAATAAGCGAAAGCTGCAGCTTGTGCATTAGTATGCGCCTTCTGCAACTAAATTTTCTGCAGGACTTGCTATGCTGAAATGCATCATAAGAATTCTAACAATAGATCTAGCTACTTACTTTATCTATCTAACGAAGCTCTAAAAGTATTACAAAATGACTTGAAACTGTGCAATCGCTTTTTTCTTAAAATCTTAATGGCAGAACCCATTAACCAGAAATTTGTCCTTACTGTCTCCTGTTAATAAACACATCAGCTTCACGACTTCTAACAGCTGAAACAATAAGTGAAGGAAAAATATTGAACTCATTCGGGACTATTTACACTTTCTCGTAGCGCAAGCAATGTCATGTCGCTACAAATTTCGAGAAATCTAACAGTACGCAAATTGTTCTGATACAAAATTTGCTTCACATGTTTTCGCAAACAGATCTCGGCAACTTTTGTCACCCGAAAACATTCTTTCACTTTTCAGTCATGTTTTAGTGCACATACCAGAATCATTCAAGTAGTAGTTGTTTGATTTTATCTATGCACACATACACTTGCCTAAACTAGTAGATTTATTAGAATGTTATCATATTTCAGCTATATTGGTAAACACCAGAGTTACAGAGCAGCAACAACCCTTCTCTTCTCGAAAACATCGTCGAAAGCTGTCTGCCCTGAATTTTGCCTTTCTACAGGAGTGCATGCTAGATACTCGACCCAAGATAACAATTTACGCTTGCTACCGGCACAGCAATACTCGATAAAGTTATGATCTTTAATGCTAGCCATGTTATTTCTTTATACCACCATATCAGTAACAAAGACACTCGTAGTTCGACCAATTTTTTGAATCTATATATAAACAAAACTCAAACTCTATAAATTTGTGTTTTAGTGAGTATGTGGCTTATAGACTTTTGTGGGTGAACCGATGAGGCTGAAATTCGGTTACCTATAAACAAGGCACGGCGCAAAAGATAGGCTTCTCTTTGCGACAATTCGCTGGGCCCTTCAATCAATTTACTGATTTGTTTACTTACATCGAGGGGAATAAAGTTCACCAACCATTGTTGGATCATTTCCTCACAGTCATGTAAGCCGAGCCGTAAAGTTCATTTACATTTTTCGGCAAGAAGAAACCGGTGTTTCAAGTCAGTAACTAAAGCATATCACAGTTTCGTCGCAGATATGGAGAAGGGATGGTAAGCAGGGTAAAGCGGGGTGTGCGGCACACGACCGTCGGATACGACCCCCCCCCCTTGGGCCGGACCTCGGCACGATCCCTCCCCCCATTCCTTACCCCCCCCCCCCCTTCTGTTCATAGTAACTCTGGGTTACTCCGCATAAGTGCGATATTTGTGTTCAGTGTGCCACATAACCCCAGCAAATCAGATTTCACATTGTATCTTTTATTGTATTGTATCGTTTTCTTTTTTTGATACCATTGTTCTATTGGAATGATGAGAAGAATACGTAAAAGATTGAAGCGTTGAATTTAGACTCTTTAGCGTAACCTTTCAATTCTACTAAACTTCGAGATAGTATCTATCACCAACGGATTGAACGAAAGTAATAATAAGCAAAACCAGACTGAAGTTGGGGTGTAAAAAAAGAAAAAAGAAAATAGAGAGAGAAAACTTTTCAATCACCAAAAATGAACTCGACATTAGGAAAAGCCAACTAACCATTCTCTTCAGTGATACAATGTAATTCGAACGACTTGTCCTTTCGGTCATCTTTTGATGCTTCCAAGAACACATTTGTAAAATCTTTGAACGATGGTCGAGAGCCGGATATGAGATTTGAATCATAGTATACGGCATTCACTAGTAACTAGAACAGAAGAGCTTTATCCGGAAAACGCTTATGCAACGCGTCAACGCACCTCAGCTAATTTACTCCATATGTCAGGGATATCCATCATCCACATTTCAGCCTCTACAGCCAATGTGCAGTGTCGCGACATTCTGTAATATTTGATATTTTTTCAAGTCATCGAACCGAAGCAAGTACAATATTACTTCTTTAGCCACCGTCCGGCTGTCTTACAGTAATCCGAATCTGGCGTTAAATATGTCCACTGCACAAGTCACGTATTCGACGTCTTTTCTCCAACGGCGTCACCTCAATTTGAAGGAATTCAAGTGTCGCAAGTCGAAATTTAGCAAAGTGTTGCGCGATTTTCTGATGAGAAAACTAATCTCGAATGATCCTTGACTTTGTGTGTACCATATTTAGTCGTCAGGCTCGATGGAAGCAATGTGCAGTGTGCTGACAAGGAGAATAGTTGGTGGCCGTGGCCATGCGCCTTTGTGTCTGATTCAGAATCCATTTCGCTTATTTGCGAAACTTTTCTTAAAATGAAGTTACACCTTTTTCAAGAGTAAGTACACTGATGAGGGTCGGCATAATCAGTATATCTTAAGGTCTTTCATTTTTAGACAAAGTCGCGTCTGGCGGAACGTTGAGCATAAATTTGTAATCAGGTACAAAGATGCGTCCTATGAGCATTCTATGGTCAAGGTCACCAAGTACTCTATTCAAGTGAAAGGGCGATGTTAGACATGACTAACCTAAAGATTCCATTGATTCCACGAAACTTCTATCACACCACCGGTATCCTACGGTTCGAGGAAATGCTAAAGTTTGCTCAAATGTAGACTTATTCGTTTGCATGAATTGTAACTGACAGTTGCAGGAAATGATAAGCACGGTTTATTGATATGACATTATATACAGTAGCCATAGCCAAAAATAACTACGTATATGCTTTTTCGCATAAAAATGTTCATGATATTTCTTTTGATAGAAACAATGGTAACGCAATGTTGAATATCGGAACGTTGCATACTAGCGAGTCAAGCAGTTCTCTAAAGAATGGAACTTATGATTTGTTTGTTTTTATTTCAAAGGTTTACCATCATACGTGCTCAATATAACGCATCAGTTTCATATCTTTAAATCACTTATGAAAATCACGACTATTGTGTAGTGTACAGTCATCCTTCTTTGGTGATCTTTGCAGTTCTGTCATGTAGGTTGAATCGTTTTCTACTAGTGAGCAATTCACAGAATGTGGTTTACTGAACCCTATGGTGCTGAGCGAAAGGCGTGGAGATGAATTTCCTAATCATTTGAAGTGAGAATACAGTCTAAGTGACTGTATTCTCACATTGTGGAAAGCTGGCGTTCGTAGAAAGGGGGCTTTCTCTTCCGATGACTTCTTGTTTCTTGATTATATGTACGTTCTATCGTACTGAGTTGGACGGAAAAACTGAAAATCATTAAAGTAAGTCTCAAAAGCGCGAACATTTTGTACAACAACCTTGCCATTACCTCCTCTCGACAAAAGGGTACTCCAAAACAAAGTTCGCTTTTAAGTCAGCTGAAGTTTATACCGAACAAATCCCACGCAGAGGTGAACATATGTAGATTATGCCCATGCATATAATACGTGGATATGTAATGTACGACACGGACATCATGAAGTAAAAAAAAACTACAGGAAAGGCTTCAAGACATGTCATTCGGAAAGCTAATCGAAGGCCTCCGACAAACTCTGTTCCAAACAAAATCTCGTGTGTGCGAATGTGATCAAACATTGGACTTTCCCTTAAAAAGCGCTTTCACACACTTTCTTCGTCTTGAAAGTCATCATCGCAGCAGCTTGATGCTTGCCGGTTGAATGACCAAAGACGCCAGCTCTTGGGAGACCTTAATCCTGTGGGGTTTCTGTAATTCCTGCATTCCTGTACTGAAATTCGCCGAGCGCCCAGTAGTGCGGCACATCGGAAGTCTAGGGAACACGGGTGTTGCATGACTTACAGGAATCGCGGGAATCACCTCCTGGAATCGTATGGCTGGTCCCTTGAAGGGAGGCGTCGAATGCGTGACTTGTGCAGTAGACATATTTTACGACAAGTTCGGGTTACTGTAAGACAGCCGGACGGTGGCTGAAGAAGTAATATTGTAAGCAAGTTAGTTATACGCACCGTGCCAGGGCCTCAGGCTTTTTCTCTTCGTCTTGCAATGCGAGACAAAGCATGTTTCCAAGTTTGGGAAGTTAAGGTTCCGGACCTACAAAAGAAGTAGCCTGTTATATGAATCAAAGAAAGAAAAAACGGGTACCTTTTCGACAGCATATTCCGTAAATCAAAGAAAATTTCATTGATATTCGGGCATCCAAACTTCTCGGAAGAAGCTATTTCGAATATTTCTTGGACGCACTGTAATTCAGAATTATGGGAAAGTGTAAAATGAAGGGAAGATCGAAATGCTCCATACTTCATGAATATTCAAATCGCCTTCATCATAGCTCTCCAAAATCGCGCCGACCTCCTTACCAATTTTCTGATACTTTTCTTCGAGAGCAGCTTTCACCTCCTCCGAGTCAGTTTCTTGAAAAGGAAGATTAGTTGAGAGAGCTTTACTGTACGGGAAAGAAAAGTCGATTTGCATGGGTTTATCGTGAAAATATCAAAAACGTAAAGAAAACAACCAGAGGTCGCTAATGCAAAACAGCTCGAAAGAGAGAAATTTGAGAAAAGGAATAAGAAAAAATTATTGGAGACAGATTAACCAAAGAGACATACCGCCGTAGACTCGGGTTTTCCAGAACAAATCGTCTTTGCTGCTGCCAACGATGCAGCTCTTTCGTCGGTAACATCTCTGGAGTTCTGAAGTGAATATTTTAGAAAAGACTGAAGAAACAAAAGACTAGAATCCATCGATTCCAATAATCCAATGCCAACTTTCTCATATTTTTTTCCACCGAAGTTTGCAAACGATAGTGATGCCGGAACTGAATGCTTCAAAACCTTTTATTTTCTGACTGTTACTTTTAGTTTCTACATTGTGACTTACCTTTCGTTGGCTTCATCTCTAGCGCCTTTTTGCCAGCCACTTTTGTGGTTTCCGTTGTGATAGTACCACCGCCAGCCCCTTGGTGCCATGTTTTCCTGTTGGCTCCTAATGAGTTATCACCCTGGAAACCAGCACTCTGTTATTTTTAAAAACCGTAGTAGCTAAGCTTACCTTCAAAATAGCAAACTAATGTTCTTGGGCTGAACGTTTGATGGGGCCTACTTAGACTTCGAAGCTGCAATGGATCGGCGGTCTCCACCTTTAGGTCCAAACCTGTTGTCGAGCGAACTTCGCTGAACAGGAGCGTTTCGGCCGTGTTGGGACGTGCTGCCGCCAGTTCGTAGCTTTCGATCATACTGAAAACGGGAAAATGATCTCAGTAACTATATAATAATAATGATATAAGATAACACGACAATGACACAAGTGAATGCTTACCTGATCCCTTTGCATTTGATTCTCCATTTGCTCACGCTTGATTTCATTGTGAATCTCAGTGATCTTCTTAGGTCCCTGATCGACTCCTTTTCGAGGGATCCACCGGTTTTGTCGCAATTCAATCACATTCATCATCATGAACCTTCAAAGAAGTTCCATTATCCTTAAAAGGTCTCTTAATTAGGAAGTTCTCATATAAGGAAACCATCGAAAAGGAGTACAAATTCTAAAACTGTCGCAAAACAATGCAATGCATCCGAATTATTCAGCTTGCCGCCTTTCTGCATTTACGCAATAGCGCAGAAGGGCGGCAAGATGAATAGTTGGTGCTGCCGTAACCCGATATTTTGGCAGCCGCACGATGGATGGTAGGTAGTAGAAAAAGGGCTATATCTCATTCTGTGCGGGAAAGTTTTGGATGAAAATCTTACTATGAAGAGGAGAAGGTCGAGCTGTAAAAACGACATAAAAATTGTAGACATTCGACGGCTTTAAGGGTAAGTTAATGGGGTGCGGCACACCCCCTTAAAAGCTGCGGCCGCCGCAGCTTTTAAGGGGGTGTGCCGCACCCCATTAATTATATCAAAAAAAACATTTTTAGCGGACAATATCTATATAAATCGATAGCCTAAACCTTGTAGGTTTCATAGGAGTGTTTTAAGCCTGATTCGTCTTCTTAGCTCTGAGTAATACTTGGTGAAAGCACAGCGATCAAAAGCGAAAAATGGGAAAAACGAGATTTTTTTGGCTTCTAATTCCATAGTTTGGAGGTCTTCTAAAGCGGGATTCTTGTGGTGGACAAAGAAGGAATAGTGCTTTGTCTTGAGTGCAAACACGGATAGCTAATTCACCTTTGGAACAAAGGCAACCATGTTGGAATTTGACAATTTCATTTAGGTAGCCTAGTATCTTGAATCTTCAGAATTCGCTCGCACTTTGTCTACAGGGGTTAATTGACATGCTAATTATAGATATGATACGAATATCATGTTATCACTATTATCAGATTACCCAACTACGACCCCCCCCCTTTTGACTCCTCAATACGATCCCCCGGTGCGGCGTGCCGCACCCTCCGCTTTACCCTGATGGTAAGTCTCAACGCGTTTGGGACCGGGGAGAAACCCACTTCTCGGGCGGGACCGGGGACGCCATCTAGTTTCAGATAAGAAGGAAGATGATCTTGAAATGCCCACTCTGATTGTCTGAGTTTTATAGTCTAGATAAACTTCATTTCCAACATCCAACTCTCATTTGATGAGCTCGTACTCATGTCATGCAAGAGATCGACATCCATCAAGAGACTTCTAGAGCTGTGGTGGCTCGGTGTGATCAGCACCTTTCCGCTAGTGCTCGCCGCAGCTACGCCTAATTCCCTATTGTCCCCTACATAGTGTCGCGCGTCCGATAAGGTTAGCTACGCCCTATCGGGCGCTGCCGAGGATTGCCCGCTCTCATATGAACGGCACAATAGATTGCGCGTAACGCTGAGAAAGAAAAGGACCGACTAATTCAGATTACATTTATCTACAAATATACACAACAATAAACTACTAACATTACTAAAACTACTAGAACTACGAGAACTACTAAAAACTACTAAAGCTACTAAAACTACTCCCTAAAATCAGGAAAAGATAGGCACGGGACGAGCCGCCTTGTCCCGTGCTGCCGATGCTCGGTGATGATCACTCCAACGCGTAGTTCCGGGCTCTCCGCTGGGTCAACCGCAAGCCCCTAGCCCTTCCGGGACGGTGTGACCCCTCTCCACTCCCGCTATTGTGCTTCCTACGCAAGACAAACCATGATGTTAGCTGCGCGTCTCCAAAACCAAGACGATGACAAAAGCTCAACCGCTCGAAACCGATGATCATCTGCGGGAGCTGCTGGAGGCGCTGCCAGCACGAACGATCTCATAAAACGATCAATACGAACGAAACTCGAAGAGGCGTAGACCGCGGCCTGCGAGCCCTTATATACCCTGTGACTTGGCAACGCGCCCAGCAGGAGAGGTCTTGGCGCGATCTTGAAAGCGCGCCAAGTAACGCGATAGCCAGCGCTCCCGGCCTCCTGTTTCGAGGAGTGGCTTGCATCGCGAGCCGCGACAAGAGCTATGATATTAGGAAGTTTCACATTTAAAACATTCGAATCACTTTTGAAGAAACTCATCGTGTTGCTTTCAATCTTTTGAATTAAAATTGTATGCCCTCTGATTCAATGGGATTGGCGGCTGGATAGTGGGGCTGCTTAGGCTCTGCACTTGTTTCGTGGCCGTGCTCTCCTTCCCATCACGAGCGTGGGGAGCCTAGTCAGTCTTGTTGAATCAGAGGGTATCTTCAAATTTCATCAAGCACTTTGATTTTGTTTACCTTGGAACAAACTTAGTGACCCTTCGCAAGCAATCGCTCCGTTTTTATATTCTTTCCGCTCTCTTTTAAATTTGTAATTTCAGTCCACTGGCTAGCATGCATAATTCCAAACTTTCAATCCCTGATTTCGCGTCAAATGTTTTGCATAAGTAACTCACTGCTCTACTACCTAGGCAATCACCATTTTTTGGCGATGTTTTCGCAAAAAAGCAAACATTTGAGCACTTTTTGGTCTAAAATTCATGGGGCGCGGATTTACTTAGCAGGCAAATCTTGAGTTGCAAAAAGTCGAATTAGCGACCTAGTTTTACCTGCCGAAAGCGGGTGGACACGTTTAAGGCGCAAATTTTGAAGAACCCGCACATCAAAGCGGCACGTCCTTGTGCATTGTAGACTTACAAACTGCTGTAGTATGTTATGCAAAATTGTAGCTCGATAGCTTGACTGCAGCTCCCTCTATGAATTTCGTGACAGACAGACATACACACATACAAAAAGCTCGGCAAATCACATTTTGCTTCTCAACTTTGAATTTGTAAATCTGCCTTAATGAAGGCAGGACTTTTCTGAGAAGTCAATACATCAGCCATCGACATACGTATACATTAATCTGCCATATGAATGGACGAGATTAGGCAAAAGAAGGCCTTTACGGAGGTTTATGGATTTATTCATCAGATACCGCGTGCACATATTGGAAGACTTGTCGTCGACACCATAGCCATTGGACTAATTCTCTATGAATGTCGACATCATTTCCGATGCTTGGGCACACAAGGCCGCATAGCCTGTCGAGAAGAATGCCGACTATGTCGAAGCGTCGGAAGAATTGACATAGTCTTTCCCTTCTAGATTGTTCGCTACTTACATTCAATTTTTCTATAAATTTCTATAGCTTTCAATTCCTCACCTGCAACTTTCCGTGGCAATCTTGAACATGAAAGAACATTTACAATATGTTCTTCACTAGCTACATATCCTTCCTCATTATATAATCTCCATCTGTCACTGACATTCTTTTCTTTTCTTTCACAATTCAGCAGTGGCGTACCCAGGATTTCCGTTCGGGGGGGGGGGGGGGGGAACAAACTCCAGAAAAAATTTTTGGTAGGCTTCTCAATATTTTCGTGGGCCCATAACCCCAAAATTTCAGAAAAAAGGATACGTGGCGTCAGCCACTCCTCCTAGAAGAAAATTTTATAAGGCTAATTTGAATTTTTGAAAAAAATTTTAAAAATAATTTTAATTATTTACAAGTATAAACGAGTCATTTGCACATTTTTATAACCCATATGAGTAACTTTTAAAAATTTTGCGACCCAATCTTGGGGGGGGGGGCGTATTTCATTTATAAAATTAATCCATTCAATCATGAAAGCAAAGCTTTTGGCAACATAACGGCTAAAGCGCTGTAGAGGTTGAAGTTATGATTTGGTGCAATTGGATTGCACATTATTTTAGGATTGAAAAAACATAAGGAAAAAGTTGAGGCACTGTTGCATTTTGATCATTGCAAACTGTCTGCTGTTTTTATTCATATCTTGTCATATTCATATCTTATTCATATTCAGATCTTGATCCAAAATATTCTGGCTCTTGTATCTACTTGCCTAGAAGGCAACCAAATACAAGAGTATCTGGCTCCTGTATTTGCCTGTCTTAGTGGCTACATAAATATGACGCATAGGTTTCTTGCAGTAACTTGTCAGGAAAATTTGATTATTTTTTGTTTTTATTCTTGATTTTGCCTCTCAGTAGCTTTATGCACACTTTTATCCACGAATCAATAAAACTTGGAACTCATCCGGTGTTTTCCACAAAATCTAGATGGTTGCAAATATTCGTCCGTTTTTCCAACTTACGCGCAAATCCTTAAAAGCAAAGAAAACAAACACTTCTTGCAAAATCTAATGCAGAATATCTTCCCTTCCAGCAGAAAAGTTCAGATGCGAAGTTTTGGACGAGCGCCGATATAATCGCCACCATGTCCAGCTTTCGCTAAGTTTCAGAAATTTTCTTTGAGCCTTGGAAGGTTGTGATGGCCTGCAAGTGGGACTAATCTTTTGCAGTATTTTTTTTCTACGTTTTGTCAGAATTTTGCTAAATAATATTCCAAAAGTGATTTTTGAAAAATCGCATGGCGCATAGTTGCCCCAACTGAAAAACTTCAAAATCTGATGGCTCTAAAACTTGATTATTAATAATATTTACCTTACAAAACAGGGAACGAAGGTTTGAGGCTCCGACAATTATTTCTTACTCGTAAAAGAGTTATGTCAGAATACAAGTGATAGTTACACTAAGCAATTCTGCATCGTATATCAAAGTATTTGTTTGTCTATACTTTACTTGATGCGGGCGGGTTCATAAAACGTACAAAGCTTTTGCAACGGTCTAATATGAAACGAGCCGAATTAAGATCACAACGATCTTGCAATCCATACTTTTTGCTGCAAATTTTTCTCACCCATAGAGCTGTAGCATTATATAATTGCCATCGTTGAGACAGCCAAATGTCCATGTTACGTCAATACATCTTGCCCCCATTATAAGGTTGCTGAAATAATATCATGCATTCTTCACAAAAAAACATCTGGGAAGATTTGTTCTTCCTTAGGCTCTTAGGGTGCTGCTGTGTAAACCTTGGCAAACTTTGTGTAAAGCCATTTTCTATATTTCCTTTTTTTTGGGTGATTCATAAGTTTTTTGGAGTTCCCTAATGCATTAGAAGTTCATTTGTAGATTTTCTCAGTATTACTGAAAGTGATA